ATCTTTAATCTGACGAGTTAAAAGCTTAAAGTGTTACTTAAAAATAAAATCAAAATGAAAAACTACATTTTATTTGTCAATTCCAAATAAATACATAGAGATTCATTCAAAATGAAATCTAAATCTGCCAAAACTATTAAATAAAACCTCTTAATTTGTATAGATTCAAACTGGTTTAAATTGTTTGGAAACAAAAACATAAATAAGACAAAAAACAAACAAAGCATTCTGTTTAAATATCCTTAGTATAAATGTAAGAAACGCTAAAATGTAAACAAAGGAGAACATTTAAAAAACTCATATTCACTCGACTGTGGTTGGCTTATGCTCCAAAGCAAAAAATAAATGGAAAAAAAATTACAGCCCAGGGAGTGCAGTACAGTCGCAGTGAGGTGGGCAGCGAGATTCATACACAGATCGGATGAAATCTGATGCAGTAGAGAAGTGTGACACTCTCTACACTCAGTGTGTTTATGGCCAGGGAGTTAGTAACAAGGGTCAGTTACATTAATCAGCTACTAAAGTTCTGTGTTTTTGACTGTACTTACTGACATCAGGTGTTACCATAACACAGGCGCTTGCATTTGTGATACATCTGTGTCTCTTCGTTTTTGTCATAAGGCATGTTACGGGAGAAAGAGTCTTGTAAAGTCTTGCATTGTGCAGGTAAATTGTCAGCTGTGCAGGGATGGCACTGCTTGATTTTCTGTTGTTGTGCTGGTGTATACAGCTGTGGTAGCCCACGCCTCCTAGACTCCTCAGTCTAACCTGATGTGGCTCCAACTCTGTTCCAGCCACCTGATTGATTTGGCACAGTACTATTCTCATTATCATTGGCCTTTTGTGTTGTCCTTCAAAACACAGACGTTCTATAGACTTTAATTATGTCTCATATCACGGAAAACCTATTTCGCATTAACTATCTTTATCACTTAATTGCCCAGTCCTTCAGTCAGAACACGGTGTATCATCTTTAGATTCCAGCTAGCTAGATTAAACTCATACGTCCTGTTTTTGTCAAGTTAAACTTTACAGTAACACCTGAAACAGCTACACTCATCATTTTATTAGAGCTGAAAGAATTTGGACCATTCTTAAGCCTCATTGGTGCCTCAGTGTTTGTTTGCTTTTGGGAACAGAAGGAGCATTTGGAGCCCTGAAATGGCTAATGATGTCAGAGTTAACAAGTGAGGCGTTTAGGGAGAACTGTTAAACTGTAAATCTCAGCCTGGGGAAAACACTGGAGTTACAATGTGACACAGTTCTAAAAAACATGTTTGTCACCATGTACGACTTGATCTTGACATTGAAATAAAGTTTCAATTTGATTATTTAGCAGCTTCTTCGGTTTGCATTAGCCCTGGTCCTCGGGCTCACTTGAGATTTTATGTTTAGTAGTGGCCTTGCAAAAAACGCGAAAACACACAGACATTCTTAAATCGCACAGTTTCTTTTTAAGGAGGAAAGTTATGTATGTGCGTGCATGACAGCTTTCAGGACCAACTGCCATCACATGAGATGTTTAGAGAATATCTAAAGTATTGATTAACAAATTCTGTTCACTTAACATCACTGTAAATATGTGCAGGGCATCATTTTATGCATGATATGAACACTGAAGAACAGCAGTTTACACAGTAGCACAACAGTCTGTTAACAGCTGTCACTATATTCAAGAACAGGAAGGACAGATGGAGGATAAAGAAAAGAGACCAGAGAAGCTTCAAAATGAGTTGTGATCAAAATAGAGGTTGTGTCTGCTTTTTGTAGTTTTTCAGGTGAGGCAAAGATATCGTGTTAGTCAAGGCCAACAGATTCTTTTTTAAAACATAACAGGCACAAATGTCATTTTTGTTAACAGAGGCAAAATGAGATAATTTAACATTTTTTTGTGTGGTTTCGCCTTATTTTTGCTTAATTTTTTAAATAATAATGGAATTAAATTTTTTAAGTATTGTATACACTCCTGACAGAAGTATAAGCCAACGTGTAAAAGCCCACTTGTGCAGTAATAATACCACTATGGCATACTGTGAAATACTATTGTCAGCAAAACAGAGGGCAGGTATCCATTGTTTTTTGCTGTGTTAGCCACATGGCAGCAGGGATGGATGCCAGCCTGCTGATTGCCACGATTTACTCAACAGCTATTGGATGGATTTTTCCCAGACTTTAAGAGGATGACGAGACACTATTATACATTTAATGAGATCAAACTTTCAGTTTGTCCAATACTAATTACAGAGTCACTTCAAAACTAAAGACCTTCACATCAGTCTCAGCTGGAGCTTGTGTTTACTGGTCTTTGTTTTCAATGGTAAGGTCATGTGAGTTTCCCAAAGTTTTGCTGCCTGTAAACCTTAAACTTCATGTAGCGACTGGATTTTCACATTGAAATCAAATTTGGGAGAACAAGTAAACAAGTGATAAATTATGTCAATGAAGGTGAAAAAGGGTAAAATATAAAATTTTAATAGGGTTAATACAGTCAATAACTTTACACCCAATTTTTGTATTAATGGCAGTTCAAATTACTACACATAATATTAAAGACTCACATCATAGGGACGAACCCACATGTAATTTAATCCAAAGAAAGCTTCTGCTTTGTTACCACAACACATGTACACATGATGTCTAATATCAGATTAACTGAGTTTATGCCACCTTCTCGTATTTAGCAGCTCAAAAGCCACATTTTTCTTCTAATAAGATTTATCAACATCATAAATCAATAATCAGTTGTTCCTTGTTGTTAATGGGGTTGTGCTTCTGTAAAGTTACTCTACCATGGCTAAGAAATTCATTAGTCTTGAGCCAGTAATAAAGACATCTCTACATGTCTTATCAGAAGGAGGGGGGAAAAGAACAGAACAGTATCAGTGAAATCCGCCTAATCAAATTAGTGTGGAAATCCTCTGTTGTTCGGTCCCTAGCCTGTAGGATGACTTGGCCCTCTGAGGACTCGACTAGTTAGATGACACACTTCCCTGTTGGCCCCTCCCTGTGGAGTTGGGGCCATCAGTGTTGCAGTGTGTGAAGAATAATCACAGAAGCAGAGTAGGAAGGAACAGAGTTAAATTTAGTCTGCAGACAGGGACATTAGCAGCAAAAAAACAGAAACAAAAAACAAGACATCCTTAGAAAACACAATAAGGATGTTCTTATATTGTTACACTCTGCAATGCAGCCAAGCTTCACCTAAAAGACGTTGGTGGTAAAGCTGCTCTTTGGAGAATTTAACAGTCGGTAAGTTAGTGAGTGTGCAGCACAGGTGCATGCTCCCCTGTCTAAACGTTATTAACGAAAAGCTCTCTGTGTTCTAACATCATTAAAAGGCACTCTGACATAACACCTTTCCTCTGCGCCCACCACCATATTTATTCCGCTTTTATGTCTGTGTGTGTTTGTGAGCATTCCCAGTGAAGACAGGGATCGTTGTTAGAGTGAGAAAATTCACATTCATGTCTTTATCAGACTCTAGCGCCGTCCTGCTAATCAGCCAGGTATGCAATTCTCTCCGGTATCTGTGTGCGTCTGTCTCATGTGGTCACGGTCCCTCCCTCCACCACCACCACCTCCACCTCCCTCTGTTTCCCATCTTTTCGTGTATCTGCAGTAAGGAAAGATATGTAGGTCTCATTCCAGTCCTTCACAGCATTTTACTCTGTCCTAATCTCATCTTTCCCGTTAGATAGCCTGTCTTTATCGTTGCATAAAACCTCTCGCATCTCCATCACTCACTCGTAAACATCCTCTTTTCAGTATGTCTTGTCAACAGTATTCACCCCCCCCTCTCTCTCTCTCGCTGTCTGTTTCTACCCGTTCTTTCTCACCCTCCTTTTTTCTGACGGTGCTGCTCTCTGGCACTGGTGCAGTGTTGCCTTGCAGAGCTTCTGAGTGCTAGAAATCAGATCTAGTTATCTAACAGACACCACCACACCAAAAAAAGAAACGAGGAGAGGTGTTCGCTTGCAGTGGTACTGTAGATGATGATTTATTTTGGATTGCATGCATGCGTTTTGAAGTGCAGAGAAAGCAAAGGTGCTGGCTGGTTCTTTTTTTGTTTGTTTGTTTTGTTTTGTTTTGTGGAGGGGGGTATGTCTGGACACTTTGTGTATGTGTGTGTGTCTATATTATGTGCCTGTACTTCTTTTTGTTTTGCTGTTGCTAATTGGTCCTCCAGAGGATCTGTTTGTATATGTGGGCAAGATGGATGATCGGGACTGAATCGCTGCACTCTGGAGGAGAGGAAAACCAAAGTGAACTGTATTTCTGCTGTTTTTTAGTTTCTCAACATTTTGTTTTATTTACAACAATATGGCTGATCATGTCATTTAGAGAGGTTTACCTGAGCGTTTTCATGACCACCACCACAGATTTTTCTTTCTCTCCTGCCACAACCCCCTTTGTATTTTGTCTCCTCTGACTTGGTTTTTGCTGACAGATTCAGGACTGAGTTCCTTAAGAGAAGCCAAATATAGGAGAACTCACACGCTCACAGGGACACGCAGTAACCAAACTATTACTGTGGAAGTCCATTTGTACATTGTATACAAACTGCAATTGTTATTATTACTATTGATTGAATGTGTGGGGCTATTTTGAAAAGCCTTTTTTTCCATTAACAGTTCAGAACCATAATATTAACTTTACTCTCACATGAGATCAAGAAAAACCGGAAAACGTCACACTTGAGGTATTGGAATCTGATTAAAATGTTTACCTAAATATTTCCCTGTTCATTTTTAGTTGATTGACTAATTGATTAATTGACTAATGGTTGCAGCTATTTTAAGAAAATGAGTTTTTTGTGAATAAAAGAAGGACCTATGAAGCTATTTTCACTATTTTACTTATTGTGTAAAATAGCTCTTTGTTTGCTTTATCCCTCGCCCTCAGCATGACATGCTAGCCATCCTTGGTATGTGTCCTACAATGAAAAATGATAACCAGCATATATTTTGCTAATGAGGAGATGTCCTTGGAGAATAAACAGGGGAATAAATGATGTATATATGCTGCACTGTGGGGGATGATGGACTGGATTGGGGCCAAGCAGGAGAGAAGAGGAAGCTCTTGCCTCCTTTGTGCTATATTTGGCCTCTCAGAAGATGGCTGGTGTGGGAGAGCAACGCATTGTTTTGTAGATGCACACACATGAATGTGTTCATGAGTACAGGCACATATTTGCATGCACACCTGCACTCAAACAAACGCTAAAAGGGAGAAGCAGATGAAAGAAAAAACAAACAGTAATACAGCCTAAGTAATGTTAACATGACTGGATGATCTTCATGTGACTCACTGAGTTATTAAACACTGTGCCACTAATATCATGTCACTCTTTCCCGACAGGGGTCAGCTGATTCGTACACCAGTAGACCATCTGATTCAGACCTGTCAGCAGAGGAGGACCGCGAGGCGTATCGGCGTGAAGCCGAGCGCCAGGCACAACAGCAGCTCGACAGAGCTAAGGTACACCATACAGTCATTATCGTAGCTACACTTTGCTGTGTTTAGACTGTTTATGAACGAAAATATCTAAGAAACATTTGGCTCTATCTCTCCAGTTGAATTTTGAAGTAGAAGAGTCTAGGTTGTAGGTAAAAGTCAGCAAAGGAGATGTTAATGTCGGTGCTTTTACAAAGAAATCTGAAAATCGAATCATTTTTCATCGTTTGTGCTGTTTGATACCGCTAAACTAGCGTTAAATTATCAAACTTTGTTCATCACTATGAGAAAGAGGCAGGAAGTCATTTGTTATGTATATGGAAGCATCACTATTAATTTTAAACATATCTTTCCTAACTCTGTAACCAAGAGTATATTTTTAATGAGTTGATATTAATTGGTAAAAAAAATAAGCAACAACAGGCCCAAGATAACTAATGGATTTGTAAAATGTATTTGCACTAGTCTAAGTACCTTTGTCTTTTACAGTTGTGCTAGTTTACTTTTCAGAGGACAGTTGGAGCAAAATAATATTATTTGAGTTGACTATGACACATTATGCTACTGTAACCATATTAAAAGCTTTCCAACAAGTTTTTGCACCAGCTTCTACCTGATACTTTTCTGACTGAATATAATAAGTGAGCAAACAAGCAGTATGTTGACGTAACTTTAAAAAAATTGTTATTAGAAAGACGGGTTGTTGGTAAAGGAGGCATCTAAACTGCTAACACTTTGCTGTTAGTGCTTCTGCTAGCTGCTGCTGTTGTGCGGTGAAGTAAACAGAACAATATGAAAGGTGACATCATGTGACATCATGTGCACAATCACTGTCACTGATTTCTGAGTAAGGATCTGACCATTATCCAATGTAAATGTTGTATTGGTACGTTCCTATTTGAGCCACATATTTGGCATATTACCACCCGGTCACATCCTTTGATAATCTGCTAGTCTGGTCACCATCTTTTGTGCTGTGTGATTGGTTGCTGATTCAATCAAAGGAAGTCTGTTTTCAAGTAACAAGGAGTTGATCTATTGCACTCTGTTCTTGTCCTCGAGTCTCACATGTTTGCAGAGCATTTGGATCACTGACAAGTCTTCTTCATGTTCTTATTTGTTGACACCACAGTCCAAACCTGTAGCGTTTGCAGTAAAGACGAATGTGAGTTACTGTGGAGCTCTGGATGAGGACTGTCCAGTCCAAGGAGCTGCAGTCAACTTCGATGCCAAAGACTTCCTGCACATCAAAGAAGTGAGATTATCTGTTTTGAATAATACTACTACTACTACTAATAATAATAATGATAATAATATGCACTTTCATTATATTAAAACAAGACACATGCTGTATGTAAACCAGTGCTACTTTTGAACTGAATTTAACAGAAGTACAATAATGACTGGTGGATCGGCCGGCTAGTAAAAGAAGGAGCAGACATCACCTTCATCCCCAGCCCTCTACGACTGGAGGCAATGCGACTGAAACAGGAGCAGAAACAGAGGTCAGCTATTTCATTTCATCTCAGGTGATCTATTTCCACAAAACAGCTTCGGTAATTCAATGTGTCTTTGCTGCTGCTTCTGCAGGAAAACAGGAGGTAACTCCTCAAGTTTAGGAGACATGGTGACAGGGAGCTGGAGGACGACGCCGCCATCTGCAGGTGAATGTAAGTACAGCAAACCTTCTTCTGGTCCTGAAACAAAAAGCAGCTTCTGCTGTCTTTTATCAGTTTCTGTCACTGATTGCTATTTTCTTGTTTTCACAAGCTAAACAGAAGCAAAAACAGGTAGGTTCTGGTACTTTATGATGATGTAGAATTTGCTTATAATTCATGCTTTTTTTTTTTAATTTTTCACTCTAAACAACACAGAGTTTGTAGAAGATAATACTGAATTCCCTAAAGTAAGAGAGGCCATGGAAAATAAACAAAAATAGGTTATACAATTAGAAACTACAAGCAGGCTTGGTGTAACAGATTGTGAGTATAGGAGGTTGCTTAATTGTTTTTTCATGGAGTTAATATTAAAATAATCAGTGCAGTAGTACACTGGAAGCACCTGATCTTAAAATGAGTGATTTTAGCAAAACCTTTAAATATTTTACAACTAACCAATCCCTTTTCTGTCACCTGTCTCATTGTCAGGTTAGTTGATTAACTAATACCAGTAATTATTGTTATGTAATATTATAAAACCAAAATGCATTTAAATAACTTCAGGTCTTAATACTGGTTTTTCGGTCATTGTTTGATTGAATATGAGGGTAAAAAAACAACAACCAAACCCAACTCCCATCATTTCTCACCCCTGTTTTCGCTGTTCTTTATCCCCTTTCCTGTCCTCCTCTATTTCTGGTAGGAACATGTCCCTCCCTATGATGTGGTGCCCTCTATGAGGCCGGTGGTTCTCGTGGGACCATCGCTGAAGGGCTATGAGGTCAGCTTCTCCCCATTTCACCTCCAGCAGACAGAACGACTGCTTTCCTCTGCACTATTTGCACTGCTGCGTTCGTTATTAGCTCATGTGAATTTGTCCTTTGAAAGTTATTGGAAAATATTCAAATATTAAATGATGACTTTTTTGCTATTTAGTCTACACACATAATGAGAAAATGACACTGTGATTTTGCATTTATGAAAGTCCTCAGACCCTGAATTTATACTTTGTTAAGGGCCATTTGACAGCCATTACAGTTTTTGGAAATTTGGACGATTATGCAGTCTGTAATTAACACTACTTACTACTTTTAGGAAATTAGGATCAAGAATTTCATCAAAGCTGGACTATTGATACAGTTGCATGTTTATGTCTCTTTTTTACTCATAAGTTATTTTTCAGTAGACAGTTTCATCCTTTTGCACAAGTAATTGTTTTCATGACTCCTGTACTCAAGCTTTTGTCTTTTATGAAGTAACTGTACTTTGACTCAAGTGGACTTTTTGGGTTTCTGCCATGTGATTGGCTAATTAGACATTTAGTGAACAGTCTAACAAGTGTACCTAGTACGCTTTACTGTAGTAACCCAAACATTTTATGTTTTGTTTATTTATTTGAACTGTTTTGGTAATTTTCAGAATTTTACTTTTTAGTTACTTATAAATCTTTGACTTCACTAAAACCACTTTGCAGGATTCAGATCTTAAAATAATCTTTATTTATGTTAAACTGGGCCTTGGTGCTAAGTACATTTTATCCACTCCCTGAAAGAAGCTGTTTTACCTCCTGCCATCCTCCCTTCAAAATAGCATTCTTCTGATTGGCTGATTAGCAGGTGGAAGGGGTGGATCCACTTTCACTGATATCGTACCAAGCCAAGAATAGAAAAAAATGTCCAGAGTCAAGTGTTAAGAGCAGTCTGAAGCATAACATTTTGGTTTATTTGATTTGACCATGTTTAGTACTAACATGAACAACTCTAGCAGCATACATTTGAAAAACAATAAGAGGAAGCAGGATGTCTTAGCCTTTTAATTATAATGTGTTTGTAATTAATTGTTTTTCTTATGTTCCCAAAGGTGACAGATATGATGCAGAAAGCTCTCTTTGACTTCCTGAAACACAGATTTGAGGGAAGGTCAGTAAAATGGGGAGATTATATAATAAATCAAGTAGTTGGTGAAAGCCAGGCCTTTATTTCAGTGAAAGAGTTTCAGTGTATATTTACCTGCATTTTGCAACTTGTCCACAGAATTTCAATCACCCGTGTAACTGCCGACCTGTCCTTAGCCAAGAGATCTGTCCTTAACAAAAGACCCATAATGGAGAGATCCAACACTCGCTCGAGCTTAGGTAAGCTATGCTGATGCCAGGATGAAAGTTCCACAAGTTTCTTTTTTCTTTCTTTTTTTGAAGGGAAGCAACTTTTTTTTCCTTCCATGTATTTATTGAGTTTTAAACTTTACACTGACACCATCATTAAACAAAACAAAACCAACATAACAGAATAAAACAAAACAGACAAAGCAAACAACCCAGCTCAAGAATACAAATAAATAAATAGAGAATCCACAGTGACACATATTCCAGTATCATCCGGTGCCATTGAGTCTTAGATGGGGCCGTGTCCGTGATCCAGTTCAAAAGTACACATTTCCTTGCACAGAATGTTAACAGTGCATAGAGCTGCTTTCCAAACTTCCCCTTGATTTTGACGTTTGCTACTCCAAGTAGCATGCACAATGGAGTGCATTCAGAGTCAGTGGTGAAGATCTTATCCAGTTCACACTTAATGACAAACCAAAATTGTTGTATTTTGAGGTTGGCCACCTCTATTTTACATTTAGGGAAGGGAATCAACTTTGATAATCTAATGTTTCTTGTCTGTGCAGCTGAGGTTCAGAGTGAGATTGAAAGGATATTTGAACTCGCCAAAACCCTGCAACTGGTTGTTCTGGACGCAGACACCATCAACCATCCCGCACAGCTCGCCAAAACCTCCCTTGCACCCATCATTGTCTATGTTAAAGTTTCCTCACCAAAGGTACACCTTGCTCATGAACATTAGATTAAGGCAGTCTTATCTTTCTTGGTTTCTTACACCATCTGTTTCTTTTTCTCAGGTGCTCCAGAGGCTGATCAAATCCAGGGGGAAGTCTCAGAGCAAGCACCTGAATGTGCAGATGATGGCTGCAGACAAACTCTCTCAGTGCCCCCCTGTGAGTGCTACAGTTTGTAATAAGTCCATACAGTTTGGACATTTTACATGATCATGTAAAATGATTTTTTTGATTTTTCAAAAAGTATATTAAAATATTTAATATCAAAAAAATCATCTGAATTAAAGGCTTGAGCAGTGTGTGGCATGGTTAACTGTTAGTATCTACAGGGGGATTAAAATACGAATGAAAAATAAAGGTGTAGTTTTAGCAAAACAGCTGGTTAAGCTTATTGCACTCAGACATTCTCATAGATGCTAATCTAAAAGTGCTCCTGAGCTTGCGCCTGTTCAACTTGCCTGTTTTATTAGACCAGGCATGGTCAGAGCTGCCTTGTCATTGCTTTCCTTTCTAATGTATTGAAGTTATTAAAAATGTTTTCACGTGCCATCTCCTCTACATCTCAGAAGTTGGCCATGGTGATTAGCAAGAGAAAACTCCTCTGAAGCTATAATGCTATCACTGAAGCCCGTTCATTTGCTAATACTAGCTGTGTTTCCACACAAAGCGCAGGTCATAACTGATCTTGAAGCAGTGAAAGCAGACCAGCGGCAGCTTGCCTCGCACTCTGCTCTCCCCTTAGTTTACCATCAAAGACCAGAGGTTTATCCGCAGTGCCCATGCGCAAACCACCAGAAAAAAAACTGCTGGCCTCTCAGCTTGCCTAGCAGCAGTTATTGTTAGCAGGAAACAGATACCCCCTCAGAGAAGGAGACGACTACACTTTGCTATGTCATGAAATAAGCACAGCTTTCAGCGACAATAGCCAACTACCTAACACAAGATGGCAGTAATGTACAGACTGGGTGCGCATTAATTGACAGGCAAGGTGCTTTATGACAGCACTGTCTGAGATGAGGAGAGAGATCGCTATAGTTTGGAATGTTTCAATGTATTTTACTTTATTTCTAGATTTAATAATGCAAGCACTGCTTGTCCTAACAGAATGCCACTGAGTTACAGTCTAATTTTTTATGTTCTACATTCGTAGGATATGTTTGATGTCATTTTGGATGAGAACCAGTTGGAAGATGCTTGTGAGCATTTGGCTGAATACTTGGAGGTTTACTGGCGTGCCACTCACCTCCCAGGAAACACCCCTCTTAATCCACTATTGGAACAGAGCCTCATGACCCCGCCTTCTGCCATCTCTAGCCTACAGGTAAGTTTGTCTCTGAGTGTGTACATAAATCAGGAGAGCGTAAAAATACGCTTTTAAAATAATGTAAGACTTTTGACAACGAGCCTTGTTTTTTGAACACATTGTATGTTGTCACTGTCTTTGCCAGCTCTTCCCATCTCAGGCTTCACTCCTGTGTTTTGTTTAATTGTCTCCAGTTGTCTTGTCTGTCCTCTCACTCATCCATGCTTAACATCTTTGCAGTTTTCTGAAACACAGGAATTAATTGAATGATCGCGTACAAACTGGGGTGAGTAGTAGGGTTTATATAATATGTATATATATTTGCACCCCTCTTGCGCACCTCCGACACCCGAACACGACCCTGCGGCTGAGACAGTGAATGAAAAGCATTTTATTCATTCAACTCTCAGAAAAGATTAGACCTGGTGTGTTTTTGTTTTTCTGCTGTTGTTTGTCTTTAATTTACTGCATCCTGCCTCTTTTCCTTTACTTGGATGGTTTCAGGTGAATCACTGCTCCACAAGCTTTATTCACAAAGCAGCTAAGCTCTGTCTCCATTTTAATACTACAATTGAAATATATTGGTTTTGTTAAATCGAACTTTCCCTATTGTGTTCAGTTTCCAAGCATGCTTTGTGAATGCTGTCCCCGCTCACTGTGGCACATGAAGCTACCTGAATGATGCTAATTAAAGCGAGTGATGGGTGCTTAAACGATGCTTTCACCTGAACTAAATGCAAATTTACACACAAAAAATGAGTCCACAGCATCAGCAAAATAACTTTTTACCTCCAAGAGGAACTTCCTGAACATCCATTCAGCCGTTTCACATGCATTTTTTTGTTCAGTGTCTGTTGTATTAATCTATACACACACCGACAAAACAAAGGACTTTGAAGATAACAACACTGCTGCACTTCTGCATGCCACTTATGAACACTATCACCCTTTTATGTCGCTCAGCTCTGTGTTATTTCTGCAGTTTACTTACCTGCGGTTTATGACACTGACTGCAGGTTGATTAAAGAACAAGTAATCCCAGTTTTCTATACCTTGATATTTTAGAAAATGCCACAATATCTCTGAGGTTATACATCACATTTGCTATTTCTTGCAATTTTAGTAAAAATAGGAGTTTTTTGGTCATTATATAGGCTTTTTTTAATGTTACCTACAGTTGTGGTCAGAGGTTTACATACACTCATCATGACCATGAATGTCATGGTCATTTTGGCTTCTTTCTCCAGGGTGGAATCGTTGCACAGCAAACATTTTAATAATTCGAGCAGTGCCAAGTAGGTGCACAAGTTTGAATTTATTTTGACTACATGCAAATTCTTCACCTTTACCTCAGATCAACACACAGCTGGACAGTTGAAACATGAAGATAATTGGGTGATCAAACAGGACAACGATCACAAACACACATCAAAAATGGTTTTGGACTGGATAAAGCTAACATTAAGCGTCTGGAATACATTTTGAAACCTTGTGGAATATGTTTAAAAGTCGGGTCTGTGCCAGAAAACCAAAACAAATGTATGAACTCTTCCAATTCTGCCAGGAAGAGTGGTCAAATGTCCAGGCAAGAATTATGGCAGAAGGTTGTTGATGACAATCAAAAGCATGAGGTCGAGGTGAATCTAGCTAAGGAACATTTAACCAAATATGTGTAATATTTGTATATATTTGAGCCTGTGTGGATTACAGGAAAAACTGGATAAATTAAAATTTGTGCACCCATTCATTTTTTTCATTAAAGATGTATGCTGTACAATTATTCCACTGTGGAAAAATAACAGTTCAAAGAAATCATTAGCATTAGCAGAAATCAAAGCCCTATATTACCATGACATTCATGTCGATTATAAGTGAAATGCAAACTTCTGACCACAACTGTAGTTCTGCAGCTCTGTGTCACAGAATTAAGCTTTTGGGTTACGGTAGCTTACTTTACATTGGAATATCCATCCATTCATCCATTTTCTTTACCATTTATCCAATTCAGGGTGGTGTGGGGCTGGAGTTACATAAGAAAATATAGCACCACAAGCAGTAGAGGACGTACTTACATCTTTTATCAATCGATATCAATAGTTTGTGTTGTTGTCTTACTCTTACTTACTGTTAATGCAATTCCGATGTAGAAGAGAGATTACAGAGCCCACAGTCCTCAAGCCATATAAAGAATCATAAAAGTAGCATTGAATTGCAGGGGTGTCCAAGATATGTACAAGGAATTGTAAGTGGCCCGCCAAATGGTCCAATGTGGCCTACTAGGTAGCTTTTCAAATTGTAAAAACTGCAGACATGCACGGCATTATTTTTGTGACTTTTCTCTGTATTTTGTATCAGGAAGTATTGCGGTGTTAAGAGTGATCGCATTATAACTTTTTATGTGAGCAAGAGGTCTGAATCGTCATCAGTTTTGCAGCAGTTTTACTGACAAAGATATCACATATATATTTCACTTAAGTTCTTTTGTTTTGTTTTTGTTGGGTTTTTTTGCAATGACCATCTGAATGTGATGAAATTGCACTTCTTTTTCTTAAGACAGCTGAGGCTTTTTCCTATCTGATTGTAAGGGATTGTTAGTGAAGACTGAACCTTTTCAAACACTAACACAAAGATACAAAGATGATACGTTGTTTCATTGGTCATTATTCAGTAGTTTTACTAACCAAGATCAAGTAAAACTGGGCACGGCTCTTCAGCAAAAATAAAAGTGACACCTTTGCCCTTTATACTCGTTTAATACTCGACACCTGTTTAAACAGAACAAAGACTGTGGTCTAAACTGTACCTAAACTCCTACAGTAGGTGTCACTTTGTGTTCAGTAAGAAGCTTTTTTAAAGGCAAACGTGGGTATGTGAGGAATGATTTGAGTCTGCCATATTCTATTGGTCTCTGAGGGTAATGCTAACTTTATGCTGTTCATGGAAAAGAAAAGAAACAATTTTGTATGAATCATTTTAAAGTCTTAATTTAAATCTACTAAAAATAAACATAAAAACTGACCACTTAGAACGACGGTTGGGCATTGATCTGATCACACTGTGATCAGAGACTTGGAGAGCTCAATGTCTTCTGTAGGCTCAAAATAGTTACTTCAGTGGGAAATAATGAGAAAGAAACCAGAATTTTCCTTTCAGACAGACTCCCACAATTCCTTCAAAGTCCTTATTGATGTAGTGTTTGCCTTATTTTGTGTTTTTCCTTCGAGATGATATCCTGAGTCCAAGCTTTGATGTGACTCTGCCTTTATTTGTATTTTTTTCCTGCATGACCACTTGAATCATCCAGAACAAGAACCAGCCGCAGCCTTGTGAGACAGCAGGCTTGGAGGGTGATGAGGAAGAGGAGGCCGGCGAGGAGGCCCACTCCCCCCTGGAGCAGGACAGTCTTATGCCATCTGACGAAGCCAGCGACTCGCTTTCTCGTGGCCGGAGGGGGAGCCCCTGTCACAGGGGGGGCGAGGAGGATGAAGAGGAGGAAGAGGAAGAAGAGGAGGAGGAAGATGAGGAGGATGAATACGCCTCTCCCTGCCACGCTCGCACATATAGGGACATGTACCCCTCTCACCGCAGCCATACGGGCGGTGCCCACAGCGCCAACGGGCACGAGTCACAAGACAGGCTGCTCCAGCGCGAAGCTCAGCAAGGTCACAACCAGAGGAACCGCCAGCGCAGCCGCCCCTGGCCCCGAGACACCTACTGAGACAAGGGGCCCCTTCCAGCCTCCAGCCCCCCCTCCAAGCCCTCCACCCACCGCACAGGCCCAAACTAGCAACTTAGAGATGAAATTTGTTCCCAGATTCGCCAAACTTTAGTGCCAATTGGAAACAAACACAAACAGATGCCCAGTTTATCGACCAATCACAATCTTCCAGGGGGCCTACTCACCTCTGAAAGGGAAAAGTTTCAGGCTACCAGCTGTACGCAAACTCAAACTTTAGCTGCTTTGCCTAAGGTTTCTCTATTGTAGGATGTCTCATATACTGGCCTTAAAATTCCTAAGACTTTTAACGATCTTTACTATTGCATGTATAATTTTAAGACTATTTGCACATTAACGTCAGAACAGGAAGTGAATGACCTTTATGGATAAACTAACGTAGGAATGTCTACCGCTGAATCAGTTATGGGAAATAGTAATGCATTTGATTCCAATGTATATACTGAATGGGCACTGCTACTTTATTTGTTTGATTTTGTTTATATGGACTTGTTTGTTGCCATCCATGTGTTCGGTGAACGGAGATTTTTGGAGAGACATTGTACAGTCTCTAAACAGTTAAAACGTCATCGATATGAAGCTGCAGTACAGCGTCAGCGTCACCTACAGTGCAGTACGTTCTGGGCATCGCTCGTCTTTGCTGTTGCACAATCACTCTCTTAAGAAAAAAAAATCTTTGAATGGGCACAGAGAATGTAAACACAACCATGAAAGGGAATGTTTTAAATCTTTTAAAGGATGAATTCCTTGCCAAAAAAACAAACAAAAACAAAAAAAACCACACGCTTGTTTACATCCACTCATACACATATTTCAAGCACATGCTGCACAGCTGCAGCTCCTCTTCAAATCCAGGCTTCAGAGAATGTAAGCTTGCATGCCTTTTGCACCTCCAGCACCACTTGGTCGCACAACCTATCGCCCCGTAAATTCGATTGTAGCACGTTATTGATTGTAGCATCCACAGTTTCTAAACTGATCTCACTCCCCTTACATCCACCTCACTCTCCTCGGATATTTTTTGCGTGTCGAACATTGTTTGCGTACTGCAGTTTTACAGCTGGTTTTTACAAAGGCGGATCCTCAGGTGTATGTCCTACAACACTCATCGCGCTCAGCTCCATGTAACGACCGTGTCGTGCTCCCCGAGGACTTGTAGCACTCGTGACACGTCATTCTGTTCCTGCGCCATTTCTAGTCCGTGAGCCGACGACGAGGTGGACGCGATGCTGATAAGCGGCGGCCCAACTCTGTTCCTTACACAGGGTGGATTGTTGTCACGGCCGGCTGATAGGAAACCCTGGTTTACTGCTTCCATGTGTCACAGGTATCTCTATCTAGTGTTCTGTATATTTTAAAGAGAAAAAAAAAACAACAAGAATGAAAAAAAAAATTAACAAAAAAATCTATGCAAGTGTTGCATGAAATCTGATTGTTTCTTTTGAAGTATTTTAGTAATGCATCGATTCCGACTCTCCTCGTCGTCTTGTAGTGATAGTCTTGTCTTTGGGGCTACTCACTCCTCGCACCACCAACAACACGATTACTAAAAAGATCTGTTTATTTCTTCACACACCTTTAACACTGAGGACATTCTTCCACAGTAAAGTCACTCACTGGGGGGAAAAAACAAAACAAAAACAAAAAAACCCGTCCCAGATCAGGCCTTTGATTTTGTTAATTTGTGATCTAATGAGTGGATTATCTAAGCCCTGCATGTCTTAGTTCAACAATTAGCTCCTTTCGTTATATTTTGGCAGAGTATGTTTTTCAACGCGGACCAATTTAGCAACTGATAAAACAGTTGAAGGTTTTTCGATTTATGAAGCACAATTTTTACAAGAGTTATACTTCAGTTTCCTCTGTCTTATTCTGTATGCAATACAAAGCCTAACATTGAAAAACTTTAAACGCCTTAGACCATCTGGACTTCCTCTTTTGTGTGAGTAGAGAAAAAAAAAATTGCACTACTTTTTTTTTGGGATGGTTGCTTTGTAATGCAATAACTGCACTAAATATAACCATATATCCACCAGACTACCACAGCGTGCTAGCGTGACCTGACACGCCTCTTCCCTCTATTTATCAAAAGAGACAGCAAATGAAAAAGTGAGACATTTCCTGCCTGATGCTGTATAGAATGCTTTCTATTTGAAAATAGATTTACAATGTTAAGTAAAATATGAATTAAACTAAATAAACATGACATTTTATGTACTTTTAATGGTGTAACTCATTTGTCTTTCATTGTCATTTACTGACCAATACCTATGAGCATTTATGTGTAGCAGGAAAGGACTGTCTGCCATAAGAATTAAGTGGATCTCCAACTGGATTAACAGAGTTTCAGTCAGGATTCAAAATTCATCACTGTACAAAAATACTGTGAAGGTTATGAATGATGTTCTTATGGCTGCTGACAGTGGACTCATCTATGAGCATCTGATACCAATGACATGCATTGGTTTGCATGAGCATGCAATATGTATTAAAGGTACTGTGCTGGAGTGGTTTGAAGCATACAGAATAGATTCCAATTCGTTCATGTAAATAGTGTCATTTTCACACAGTAAAGTTAATTATGGAGTTCCACAAGGTTCTGTGCTGGGACCAATTCTATATGCATTATACATGCTTCCTTAGACAGTATTAATAGAAGGAACACCTTACATTTTCATTGCTATTCAGATGATACCCAGCTTTATCTATCCATAAAGTCAGATGAAACCTACCAGACATCAGGAATGTCTTAAAGACGAAGATGTGGATGACCTCTAAGTTAACTTATTATACTGGCCTAAAAAAATCTTAGAAACCTGGGCCCGTATCCCTAAAGAATCTTTGTGCAAAAAGTGGCTCCTAGCGGCCAAATTCTAAGAAAATTCTCAGAGTCATGACGTTTTCTTAGAATTTCCCCTAAAAGTGACACGACAATCCCAGTTAATATAAAAGCTATTCCTCAAGATTCCTAGCGCTTAAAAGGGCTCCTAAGGCGAGATCTGCTAAGAGCAGGGAAGAGGACTTTTAGTGGCTTAGGAGTTCCCCTAAGCAGCTGCACAAAATGGCCAACAGAAGAGGCAGGAGAGATGTCCTGCAAACACTGGATGACAGGGAATTATTGAGACGCTACAGATTGGATCGTGCAGGAATCATGTTTGTGGTGGATCTCCTTAGAGATGCAATTACTTCACCAACTCGACGCCACAACACTATTACACCGGAGACGAAAGTAATCACAACCCTGAGGTATTTGGCAACCGGGAAAATGCAACAATGCAGCAGTGATGACTTGGGTCTGCAATCACAGACATTGCTAAAAGCTGAGCCGTGTAACCCTCGTTAAGACCACACTGGACTTGTAACGTTGTGATTTCTACTTCATTAAGGACAGCCCCTTGAGATAGGCCATCTTGTTTTCAACAGGGTCCATATGGGAGTGAAAGTACAAAATATGTCAGCTAGGATATTAACTCATTCACTGACAATGGCTGGCAGTGAATGAGTTAATATGAGCAAATAAGACACAAATCATTATTTGAACAGGGTGTAATGAGTTTAAGTTTTCACATATTTTAGATTCTAATGTTAGGCTATAACCCCTACAGCTTACTATTCATTTTCCAGATATTTTCTTGAATGTGAAATATTATTTACAATTACAGTCAGCATAAGATTAGAGTGTATAATTATGTTTATTGATTTGAGGGTACATCCTTTGCTCATTATCACCAAAAGCTCATTTCCATCAAACTTGTAGGATCAACCAATCACGGCTTTTGAAATGATGACTCATACCTAGCAACGGGGTCAACCACACCTCCTCACTAAGATAGGATTTTCCATCCATTCCTTGCTCAGAGTTCACTGAAAATGTTCTGGAATCACTTCTAAGCTAAAACTCCTGGCAAGGAATTTTTAGGTTAAGTTAGGAGCTCTCTGAGAGGATTCTCAGAATCTTTAGGGATACGGGCCCTGGTGTGTAACCAGGTACTTACCCTGGGTGGCATTTCCTGGCTTCTGGTAACACTGTGAGGAATCTTGGAGTCATTTTTTAATTTAAAGTCTTTGCCCTCAAATACAAGATCTTGAATAATCTATGAGGTATTTATCTTAAACACCTCATAGTGCCCCCAATAGCGCACCACACTCTCAGACTGCTGGCTTACTTGTGGTTCCAAGGATATTTAAAAGAAGAATGGGAGGCAGAGCCTTCAGCTTCCAGGCCCCTCTTCTGTAGAACAAGTGCCAGTTTGGACACCCTCTCTACTTTTAAGATTAGATTTAAAACTTTCCGTATTGATAAAGTTATAGTTATTCATAGTTTCAAAAACAGAACTTTCTGCCTCTCTTTGTGTTAGCAGAAATGATTGAACTTCAGTATTATGGTGTTATTATGACGTCCCACTACCACGTAATTGCCAGGTAATAGTTCGATATTCCTTCATTTTCAAATGTAAATTTTGAAGAAATAGGGAGTTTTGCATTACTCTATCATTATTACTGCAATGTCCAAAAAGCCTGCCTCAACAGCTGGTGATTGGACTGCTAGGGCCTCTGCCCAACACACACTGCACCTGACCCCTATGGTGCCTCTTGAAGGTGGTGAGCCACATGGCATAGATAAACACATAAAGAGCTTTAAAGAGTTTCCCTATATAAAAGATATTGGGGTCAAAGAGTTTTTCTGGTTAAATAAAGGAATAAAAGGTTAAAGAATATAGGTGGGAAATGCCAAGAGGAAAACTAAAGGAGATATGAAGAGCTCTATAATTGGCATGTTGAAAGGAAACACTGCTCTTCTACTTGTGAAAACTCCACATTTCGCGTGTAATTTAATGCAAAAAGAAAAAAGAAAAAAACAACTCAGTTTGACAGTTAAGAAGCTCAAATTTGCTGTATTCACATCATACATTTAAAACAGCTGTTTCCATTTTAATCAAATGATGTATCTGAAGCAAAGAAAACTGGTGTCACTTCTGGTAAAGGTTTCTTACATAGAAAACTCAAATTATGACTAAAAACACAGCACTTACTGCTCATCTACACTCACATCCTGCCTGTAATTTGGTGCATTGGGTATTTATACAGTACAGATCAGATCAGATTGGGGTCCTGCATACTGCTCCTGGTTCTGGCTTACAGACGCAAAACAAAGTTATCTTAAAATCCACCCACACTGATGAGAACCAGTGTGCTGACGACTTCGGCACCAGTTACTGTGTTTCTGCACGCACAGATGGGACCAAAACATAAAGACAAGGTGGGAAAGAACAAAATGTGTGAGAGTAACCTAGAGAGCAGATCCTGAGAGGGAGAAAAATAAACAGTTGGTGGGGTTTTCCCCTCCCCCTTCAGTTGATAAAGGTCATTTTAGGCAAAAATGGTCTCCTCGCGTCTCTTCTTGGTCAGGATGGTTCCAGGTTTATGCTGAGCATCTGGATGGTTAGCCAGCTCTGGAGGGCAGGTGGAGACGGGACTCTCGAGGATGGCCTGCTTCAGGTCGTAAAACACCGCCGAGTCCTCTTTAGTGAGGAAAGTCATGGCTACACCACTCTTACCAGCACGACCCGTACGACCAATACGATGGATGTAGTCTGCAAGAGGAGAAAGTGCAACAACGATTCAGTGAATCATTTAGTGATTCCTATGGCAAAAATTAAATTTCAGTCAATAAACAAACACTGCACACCAGATGAGGCCTCTTACCTTCGATGTTCTTTGCCATGTCGTAGTTAATGACCATGGAGACGTCCTGGATATCGATACCTCGCCCAGCAACGTCTGTGGCCACCAGGATATCTTTGGCTCCCGCCTTGAGATTGGAAAGCGCAAACTCTCTCTGCTCCTGGCCTTTGCCACCGTGCAGCGTGCAAGCATTGTACTACAAAGAAGAAGAGAAGGAGGACCAGTGGAGGTTAATCTTTGCTCAAAATATTTAGTATTTTAGGAAATCAGAAACCAAAGTGAATTAAAATTAAACCTCCATCTGAGATTTATTGGCTTTCTTTTGTATTTTGGATAAAACTTCTGACAACAAACGGCAAAACTCAGCATTATGTCAGGATGCAACACTAGCACTGAACCCCAAGTACAGCTGAGGCTAATACTGTGCATTAAAAAGCTGTTGTTGCCTTTTAATGTATCTGGCTTTCCGAATTTTCATAACTTCTTCTTTATACTAAAACTGTGGGTTTTTTGAGTGATTAATATAATTTTAGTGCAACAAGACAATTTGATCTGCTAGTAGGAAAACAAAAACTTCTAGGAATATTTCTCTTGTGACCTTAAACGTATCCGAGAATAATTTTAAGGCAATCAATGAAATATTTGTTGATATTTTATAGAAAATGTCCCCAGAAATTTCTACAGGCTGG